AATAATAAACACAAAATATCACTCCTGCCTGCAGATTTAGCAATATGCAAATGTCCTGAATATGCAAATTAATAAAACTTGCTATTCAGGTAGTGCATATAGCTGTTGCTACCAACAGAGGGTGCTGTAAAGGCTGCACGGCCAAATTCGCCTTGTTGGTAGCAAGCATCAGCAGGACAGGAGAGCACAAACATTTAACCAAAACCAATTATACACAGTAGGCACCTATAATGAGCACAGGGTGACTAAAACGTAAGAACAATTTAGAAACCTTTGTAACGTGTCCTTCTGCTTCCAGTGATGGTGACTACCGTCACACATATATTTGGCAGAAGTTTCTTATGCTCAATGATCATCAAGTTATTTCTCTTACCTAGAAAAGTAATAGATGGAAAATTGTCGTACCTTTTTAGATCATTTAGGCTATTAATGGACCCAATATCTTTCTACAGGTCTTTGATTTTGAGCTGTCCTCAGAAGACATGAAACTGATTGATGGAATTAACCGTAATTTGAGATATGTTGCAATACCATTGTAAGTATTTCTTTGATTTTTTTTGGTGGGTTAAATAAAGTACAGATGGACAAAATCCGGTGACAATTACCAAATTCCGACCGCATTGATTCACACATTTACTATTGCTAATTCAAGTTGGAATTCGGTTGGTCCAATTAGATTTGAAGCAATCGTCTGCATGCATTCATTGTCCTGCTTAAAATTGTTACTTTTTTTATCCGAATCTTATAAAATGTACAAGATTCAAAAGATTCACAAAACACAGATTTTAACAAAATTGAAACTAAATGCTTCGACAGGATGCACATTTACAGATAATCATTTACTTGCTTTTCACAAGCAAACAATAGCAGCGCTAGCAACCAGCAGACAAATAGTTAAAACAAAATCTTGGCGGCATGAGAGTTAATTATGTGGCGGGTGGCCAGTGCTTGAAAAATAGTAATGGGGAACAGACTGATCACTTTTCACACCCCTGCCCTCCCAATGGTCAGCAGGAAGGGGCGATTTCATAAAGCAAACGAGGGACGACATCCTTATTTGCTATTATTAGCCATTATGGTATAAGCCCACTGGCACCCAAGGAGATGGTGAATATTTTCTCTGACGCAGTAAATGGAGTTGACTTAAGCCCCTCCTTTGCGCAAAGAAAGTTAAGCATAGGAAAAATACATAACACAAAGTAGTCTCAACTTTAGCTTATGTTTTAAAGAAAACTAGATCAGAATTAAAGAAAAGAAGACCAGATTCTGAGAGAGGAAGAGAAGAGGAAGTAATAGGAGAAAGGTAAATTAGCATGAATTTGCCACTTTAAGCACTCATTTGTGTGGTTACATGGCAGCAGTAAAGCTGTTACCTCTGCTTTGGTTTGTCCACAGCTTTGCCGATCATCCGCAGTATTCATTCCAAGACGAATACTAAAGAGAATTTACTGAACCATTAAAAAAGAACAAAACACTGCAAAGCATTTTAGATCTGTTTTATCTACCAGGTAGTAGAAAAATAATTGTTTTAAAAAAATGTGGTCTTTTTCAAAAACAATATCAAACAAAACTGGGCATTTGCAGTAAAGCTAAATTGTATGTGAGAGTGAGATTACAAATATTTAATAAAGATCTTTCTTGTATCAGTTGGTTAGGTGGTGATTTCTTGGTCTGTTGTTGACTACTCATTTTTAATTGTACAATATCAATTTAAAAAAATCAGTATTATAAATTCAGGTGAAAAGGGGTTTTGTGGTTCTTCAAAGAAACACTACAAACACCATAGTATTACAGCTTTCTTTTTATGTCAATGAAAAATGTGCTCATATGACCACAAACCCCAACATTTCAGGGTATATATTCCACAGAAGAATAACTCAAAAATACAGACGCATTCAACCAACGGACTTATGGTTTTATTGTAAAATTGTCAGATCTACCATTTCAACAAATGTCACTTTTCCATATTTTTTCTACTATACTCACTCTGACAAACAGATGATGTCTAGAGTTGAGCGAACCCGGACTGTAAAGTTCGGGTTTGTACCGAACATTACGTTTTTTTGACCCTGGACCCGAACACGGACATATCAGTGTATGTTCAGGTTGGAGTTCGGTGTTTGGAGATTTAATGGCGCATTTTGAAAGGCTGCAGGTCAACAAGCGTTTGATTTGTGTGCCCTTAGAAGCCATCACAGCCATGCCTACTAATGGCATGGCTGTGATTGGCCAGTGCAGCATGTGACCCAGCCTCTATATATAAGCATAGCGCTGCATGCACATGAGCTCTTATTAGTGTAGGGAGAGGATGCTGCAGCTGTTAGGGACAGATTAGGAAAGAATTCTGGTGTTGAATCTGCAAACTACAGCGATTATTCAAACTACAGCGATTATTTTTGTGGGTGCTCTAATATGACATTTTTGTACCCTGCCCTGAGCCCAGTGCCACAGAGAGTGCAGTGCACTTGCAACTGCATGTATGCCAGGCACATTACTTTAATCCTGTTCTGGTAGCTCAGTGGGCAACATCTAGGCATTTTTAAATACTGCAATTTTTTTGGGTGCTAAATAGTATATTTGCGTACTGCGTTTCTTGCAGTCCAATAAAACCCTTAAATACTACTGTTACATTGTTGGTTTAAAAAATCTAACTGATTGGTGCTAAATAGTACATTTGCGGCCTGCGGTGCACTTCATATCTGAGAGTCAAATAGAACCGTCAAATACTGTGCTTACATTGCAGTTTTAAAAATTCAAATTCTTTAGGTGCTGAAAAGTAAATTTGATGCCTGCACTTCATATCTGAGAGTCAAATAGAACCGTCAAATACTGTGCTTACATTGCAGTTTTAAAAATTCAAATTCTTTAGGTGCTAAATAGTACATTTGGTACCTGCACTTCATATCTGAGAGTCAAATAGAACCGTCAAATACGGCTGTGACATAGCAGTTTTAAAAATACCAATTTTTTTAGGTGCTAAAAAGTTAATTTGGGGCCTGCACTTCATATCTGAGAGTCAAATAGAACCGTCAAATACTGTACTTACATTGTAGTTTGCCTAATTCACATTTTTTGGGTGCTAAATAGTACATTTGGTGCCTGCACTTCATATCTGAGAGTCAAATAGAACCGTCAAATACTGTGCTTACATTGCAGTTTGCCTAATCCACATTTTTGGGGTGCTAAATAGTACATTTGGTGCCTGCACTTCATATCTGAGAGTCAAATAGAACCGTCAAATACTGTGCTTACATTGCAGATTTAAAAATTCAAATTCTTTAGGTGATAAAAAGTAAATTTGGGGCGTGCATCTGAGAGTCAAATAGAACCTTCAAATACTGCTGTGACATAGCAGTTTTAAAAATTCTAATTTTTTAGGTGCTAAAAAGTAAATTTGGTGTCTGCACTTCATATCTGAGAGTCAAATAGAACCGTCAAATACTGTGCTTACATTGCAGTTTTAAAAATTCAAATTCTTTAGGTGATAAAAAGTAAATTTGGGGCGTGCATCTGAGGGTCAAATAGAGCCGTCACATACTGCTGTGACATAGCAGTTTTAAAAATAAAAATTTTTTAGGTGCTAAAAAGTAAATTTGGGGCCTGCACTTTGTAGCGGATGGCACTGGGCTGTCCTGAGAAATTACATGTATTTGAATGCATTTGTGTAAAGTAACTAAGTTCTATGTGTTAAATATATTGTATTCGTCTGAATGTTAGGTAGTTTCATTCCCTTAGTTGGTTCGAATGAAACTACCGAAAAGTCAGACCTCCCCTGTGTGAAGTGTGCCTTTAATTACCCGTTGCAACATTGTTGCGAACGGGTAATTGACAAGCTGAGTAGCCGTCCTTTGTTCTTGGGGGTGGCCGCCATTCGAAAAACGAACACGTGGCGGCGGCCATTTTAAAACTCCCGAACAGCTGTGTTTTGCCGTCGAGTGTCTGGAACTCAAATCGGACACTCGACTAGGCGAACACTGCTGAAACCTCCACAAGCCCAGTCCGTTCGGTTCCAAACTACCGAACGGCCCCTCGTTCGGTAGATAGAAAGAACCGAACGAGGGGATTCAGCCGAACCCTCCCTAGCCTCTGTAGCTAGAGGCTTTCGTGCCGTTTATTCCATTTTATTCCCTCCATAAATTTCCCGAACCCCTGGTCTGATCTGGGTGATTTTTATACATCCACTGGTAGCTCTGATCTGGGTGATTTTTGGATATGTTGTTCACCCAGATCAGAGCTACCAGTGGATGTATAATTTAAAGTGGTACCCCTAAGTTTAGGGGTACATCCAGAAACAGGGTGAATTGGTGTGCTGGATAAGGGTATGATGCAGGCTGAGGGGAGGAGATATGTGGGAGGTTACCAGAGCGGGATTGGCTACTGTACTAATGAATGAAAATCCCTCCCTTGCATGGGAGCAGGCTTTAAAAGGCCACTATCTGAATAAATCTTTAGTTCTGCTCCTGAAACTGTGTGTCGTCCAGTTATTGGGATTGCTGTTGGGATACTGCTGTGTTATTTTGCCTGCTGGATACTTTACACTTTACCCTATGGATTTATAAATGCTTGTTCCTGAACCTCCCTGGGATCCAAAGTGGAGATAGGCTGTGAGGAACTGACTCTGCTGGGTTTCGAACCCTGGTTTACATGGTGCTAAACCTTTTCCTTACCAGTACACCAGCCTGCCTTTTGCAAATTTACCTGAGATCTGATACTGCTTAATACCAGAAGGCCACTCAAGGCTCAGGGGCTCAACCACCTGGGTAACGAGTGGCTACCTCTGGCAGAAAACATTGCTGATCTGGCTACTGGACTCCAAAACTTTGTAACATCAATATCATTACATAGGCTGTGTAATACCAGCTCTCCGCTACACACTTCATATCTGAGAGTCAAATAGAACCGTCAAATACTGTGCTTACAGCGCAGTTTTAAAAATGTAAATTTTTGGGGTGCTAAATAGTACACTTGGTGCCTGCACGTTATATCTGAGAGTCAAATAGTACCATCAAATACTGTGCTTACATTGCAGTTTTGTAACTACAAATTCTTTAGGTGCTAAAAAGTAAATTTGGTGTCTGCACTTCATATCTGAGAGTCAAATAGAAGCGTCAAATACTGTGCTTACATTCCAGTTTTGAAAATTCTAATTCTTTAGGTGCTAAAAAGTAAATTTGGGACGTACACTTCATATTTGAGAGTCAAATAGAACCGTCAAATACTGTGCTTACATTGCAGATTGCCTAATTCAATTTTTTTGGGTGCTAAAAAGTAAATTTGGCGCATGCACTTTATATCTGAGAGTCAAATCGACATTTGCGGCCTGCGGTGCACTTCTTGCAGTCCAATAAACTAAAAAAAAAAAAAAATAGTTGACTTGGCGGTTACATTGTCGCCTGACATAAACCATCTGTTAGTTTGGTGGGTGAACACAAACAATGAGGAGAGCGTCAAATAAGGGCCATGGCTCTGTTTGTGGTGCTGCTGGTGTTGGTGGAGCTCCTATTGCAAGGAGAGGACGTGGACGATCTGTGCCAGCTGCACGCACAAGTGGGAGTACGCGACTCCTCAGGTGGTAGTACGCGACAGAACCTTCAGTGTTATTTGGTAGGCCCGAATGCCGCTCTACGAATGGTGAGGCCAGAACAAGTACAAGCGATAGTAGATTGGATGGCTGACAGTGCCTCCAGTTCCTTCACATTGTCTCCCACCTGGTCCCCTGCTGAAAGCTCAGAGTTGGCACCTACAGCCCATAGCCATCTGTCTTTCACCTCACCCCCTTGCAAATCAGCCAAGCAGTCTGAGCCACAAGTCATGTAGCAGTCTCTTTTTGATGACTCTGCTGGCGGGGTTTCGTGGGCCATCCACATAGCCCTGCCCCAGAAGTGGAAGATATTGAGTGCACTGATGTGTGAGGATGTGGACATGCGAGGACCACCGCAGCACGTCTCTGATGATGACGAAACACAGGTGCCAACTACTGTGGCTTTCTGCAGTGTGCAGACTGGCAAGGAGGGCAGGGTTGAGGAGTGGGTGGAAGATGATGTGGATGATGATGAGGTCCTAGACCCCACATGGAATGAATGTCATGTGAGTGACATGTGCAGTTTGGAGGAAGAGGCGGTGGTCGCACAGAGGCACCAGCACAGCATAAGAGGGAGCAGGGTGCAAAAGCGGAGCGGCCATCCCCTACACGGTATGCCTGCTACTGCCCACTGTATCCAGGGACCGAGCACACCGAAGCCAGCTCCAAGGAGTTCCCTGGCATGGCAGTTCTTCAGACAATGTGCTGACAACAAGACACGAGTGGTTTGCACTCTGTGCAATCAGAGCCTGAAGCGCAGCATAAACGTGCTAAACCAGAGCACAACCTGCATGGCAAGGCATCTACATGCAAAGCACGAGCTGCAGTGGAATAAGCACCTCAAAAACCAAGAAAGGTCTCAGGCTCCTCCTGCTTCCTCTTCTGCTGCTGTCTCAGCCTCTTCCTCCACCTCTGGAGTCAGAGTGGCACCTGCCACCCCGCAAACAGAGGATGTGGCAGCAACGCCACCACGTCTGCCACCGTCCCCAAGCATCTCCACATTGTCCCATGGAAGCGTTCAGCTGCCTTTCTCCCAAACACGGAGAGAAAGAGGAAGTACCCCCCTAGCCACACGCGACCCCTGGCCCTGAATGCCAGCGTTTCAAAAATCCTGGCCTTTGAAATGCTGTCATTCCGTCTGGTGGAGACAGACAGTTTTAAAAACCTAATGGCGGTGACTGTCCCACAGTACGTGGTTCCCAGCTGCCTCTACTTTTCCAAGCTAGCGCAACGTCATCTGTGTCAAGGTCCACATAACCACAGATACGTGGACCAGTAAGCACAGGCAGGGACGCTATATCTCCCTAACTGCACACTGGGCAAATGTAGTGGCGGCTGGGCCTGAGGCGGATAGCAGTTTTGGCGCATGTCTTTTCAAACGAGGATTCCTCCTCCTCTCCTACCACCTCATCCAGGCAGCGTAACCTTCACCACCAACTTCAGCACAGCCAGGGGAAAACGACAGCAGGCTGTTTTAAAACTCATATGTTTGGGGGGGGAAATCCCACGGGCAGGAGCTGTGGACGGGCATGGAACAACAGACCGATGAGTTGCCACTGAGCCTCAAGCCCGGCCTGGTGTTGTGCGATAATGGGCGAAATCTCGTAGCAGTTCTGCGCCTAGCCGGTTTGCCGCACATCCCTTGCCTGGCGCATGTGCTGAATTTGGTGGTGCAGAAATTCCTGAAAAACTACCCAGACATATCAGAGCTGCTGCAGAAAGTGCGGGCCATCTGTGCGCGCTTTCGGTGTTCTCACTCTGCTGCTGCTCTCCTGTCTGCTCTGCTGCGTAACTTTGGCCTTCCCGCTCACCGCCTCATATGAGACGTGCCCACAAGGTGGAACTCCACCTTGCACATGCTGGAGAGACTTTTCGAGCAGCAGCAGGCGATAGTGGAGTTTCAGATGCAGCACGCACGGGTCAGTCGCTCTGCGGAACAGCACCACTTCACCACCAATGAGTGGGCCTCCATGTGAGACCTGTGTGCCATTTTGCACTGTTTCGAGTACTCCACATGGCCAGTGTCGATGATGCCGTTCTCAGCCTTACTATCTCGCTTCTATGTCTCCTTGATAAAACGCTTTGGGCGATGATGGAAGAGGATGTGGCACAGGAGAAAGAGGAGCAGCTTGTCCTTGCCTCTGGGCAGCCTGGCACACATGAGCGACTACATGCTGCAGTGCCTGTGCAACGACTGCCGAGTTGCCCACATTCTAACTTGTGCTGATTACTGGGTGGCCACCCTGCTGGATCCCCATTACAAGGACAACGTGCCGTCCTTAATTCCCTCACTGGAGCGTG